CGCAGACGGGTGGAGCTAGTCATTCAGAAAAATCTTAAACAAGTTAGTCTTCACCATTTTGAGGATAAAATGATCGAACAGTGGCATTATATATGATGACGGGATTTATTAATATAGCTCATTGTTCTTTCTAATAAACGAGTGGTTCTTATACGTGTACACTGAAATACATTATTCATGATTCGTTCCCTGGTAATTATCGGTATGGTTGTTCCTATATCGATTAGGAATATCTATATGATTATTATTCGCTTAAGTGGAAATGCATTTAAGTAGATACAAATAAACCCCAACTTATAGGTCGATTAATATTGAATAACCGCCTAGAATCAATGTCGCCTAGTTTACAGGTCACTAACTGTTGTTGCAATTATTAAAAGTAGGAAAAGGTTGAAAATAGCTAAATCCTCGATTGCTCTCAAAGGGATCGACTATGTCGGTCCAGTAACATCTGCCATGTGATGATTGTCCCGTGCAATCAAATAGACGATCCAATTTATTTGGGAGTTTTATACTTATTTTTGAAATGTTCTCTACTCGACTCTTCAACTTGCATTCTCATGATTCAACTGGTTTCATAAAATTCTATCAGAAACATTTAATCCGCTCTTACGCATCTAAAACAAAATTCCGTAAAAGTTCTCGGAATCACCCATCTGCAAGATCAGTATCTAAAACTTTTCCTCGGCCTAATTTAACAACCTCACAGTATAAATATGACGACTTTAAAAGATACAAACTCGAACTCAAACAACTTAAATCGCAATTTCTCAACGAAACCGCTAAAGGACCCACCCCTTCCACTATCCCCAAGACGGACCCCGCCTCGGACAGTGTAAAATCCGCTATATCCATAAAATCCCAATTGGACAAAACTTCAGATCAACTCTCCCTACAAAACCGTCAACCGTTTGTCTCACCTGAATATCCTATTATCAAGCGTCGACGCGCCTTGATTAACTATGATGAGCATACTCAAAAGCTACGCGAACAGCGTCTTCGACATTGTTTATATCTCTATCAATCAACAACGGATTTTGTGACGGAGAAAAATCTCGATTCAAAAATCGAACTGGCATTTAGTACGCCACGACGACCATTTATGGAGACGCTAGCTGACTTGCAGCTGGATGTAATAGATTCGGGCGGCGTTATAGATGAGCGAGAGGCAAAGAGACGGTTGGATAGGTTGAGGGACGTGCTAGATGGTACTACACATGGTGGAAAGTATTTTGGGTTGGATGCTGTTAGCGTTTGGGCAGATTCGGAAGATGGGCAAAGAGTAGGAGAGGAGAGAATTTCTGTCGATGCTGTCGATGGAATCAGTATCGAAAGGGTCATGAAGGATGGTGATGAAAACGGAGGCGGCGATGGGGAGGTGCGGAAGAGTGATATAAATGTGAACGATAGTATTATTGAATTGGAGGGGGTTAATGATGAAACGAAATACTTGGAATTGGTAGATATGAATCTGAGGGAGGATTCAGATGAGAATGAAAAAAGTACGAGTGTTGCAAACGATTTACGATGAGGTGGATTATTGATATATTTTTAATGAATGAACGTTACCAGTGCATCGTTTGTCTTTACACTAGAAAACATTCGTAAAGAGGAAAATAGATCATGTAATATGGTTTAGAAAAATAAACACTGTCTGACAATGGCTTTGGGTAAGCCGATAGACGGCACAGGTGACAGCAAGAATGCATCGAAAGATTTGGCATTTTTAACCTGATTACTGTTCCGGTTAATCTTAAGACCGCACGAGAAAGACATTGTCGTTATACTGCATTTTGATTATTTCCTTTCCCGTTCGTTGCGAACAGAATTTAAAGTTAAATTTGTCTTCCTTCCATATTTGGATATCCACGTGTTTGATACATTCTCCAAAGACGCGTCTATTCCACATAGCAATTCGGTCCTTTCACTTCCTCCATGCCAACCACAACAGCGGATTCGCCCGAAGAATTAGCAAAGTTTGCAAAACTCCGCAGACTGTTTGACCAATTTTCCTTTGAACATGAAGCCGCTACAGCCGTTCAAAAGCTTATAAATGAGTTTGTCACGATAACCGAAACTTGTCGGTCATTAAAACAAGGAAAATTAAAGCTAGAACGAGAGAAAATTGATGCCAATAGTCAGGTAATTGTTTTCCGAAATGAAAAAGGACTATTTTCGGCTGAATTTAAGCTCTTGTGAACATTTTCCTAGGCCGAGGTACTTCGCCGATTGGTTGTGACTCTGACAAAAGAAAATAACCAGCTCCATTTGGATCTTATACATAATGTTGAAGCAAGGGAGCAAGAAAAATGGGAAACACAAAAAGTGATTAGAAAACATGAAAATGAGATTAATGCTATGAGATTTGTGAATGGCCAGTACCTAGGAATGGCACAAGAATCAGAGGGAAAACTGGACAGTGAATGCAAAAAAATTGAAAATTTGTTAAAGTCTTGTGAAGTATCCAATAATGTGCTGTTGTGCATTGATGGTGATTGTAATTTTAGCGTATAATATTATTTATGCTTGTCAATTGATTACCTTAGGTACGCGAAGGGGACCCAGAAAATCTACTTTGGTGGAAGCTGTTGCGGGGCAAATTGACTTGGATGTTCCTCTGGGTATTTAACAAAATTTTGAGTGTTTCGTTTAAGGTATTATATCTAAAGTTATTGTGGTTTGCTTTTCAGAGCCAATACCCGACAAATATGATATAATTAAACAACCGGATCCGCGTGTTATTGATATCATTAAATTATACCAAAGGCGCTTAAATCAGTTCGACGAGAACAATAAAACGCTTACAGAAAGAGAAAAGGAACATCAAGATGAAGTGTGTTATTCTTATTGTAATAGACTCGCGGCGTCAATGATTTCAGCCACAATATGCTAAGGCTCTTTGTGAATACGCGTTTTACGCTTAGATTCTAGGTCTTAAACAACAAATCGCAACAAGGGAACAAGAAATAGCGCGTCTTAATACACAGCTGGTTTCAAAACGAGCAAAGAAACTTTCCAATATTTTTAAGGAAGATGAAGCAACTGGTACATCTTCCGATTCTCGAGTTAGACAATTAGAAATGCAGACCGAATACCTTCATGCATACATAATAAATCTCGAACAGGTAAGCGAATGCAACTATTTGGCCGTTCACTACCAGTAAAACTTGTTACAGAGCGTAGCTCGAATCTGTAGGATTTAGCCAAACTCAAGGAACAGCAATCAAAGTTGCTCAAAGAACAGGAACAAGAAACACAATCCATAATTGAAGAGCTGAACGATGTGAAAGAGAGAAACACTTTGTTGCTTAATAACATGGAACAGCATGAAAAACCGGTCAATGGGCTTAAAGAGACACACAGTGATGTTTACAGACTTGGTAATCATAGTCTAACTTGTATTATGATTTTAATAAATAACACGATGCTAAACATGTTTAATGCTGTAATACTTGTTAGCAAGATCACGAGGGAAAAGGCAATCGAACGACATAGTAAGTTCACGTCTCTCTCAGAAGTTTTGATTATTATTGCAGACATCTCATGGGGTTATTTATTCTAGGCGACACGTAGCAAGTATTTGACGGCCCTTAACACGGAAAATGAGCAATTAAAGAAAGACTTTGAAGGTACGTGATACCGAGTTCTCGATTCTTGTAATTGTTATGCTCGTCTAATGTAATTCAGATGTTTCCCGAGAGAATCAGCAGCTAAAGGACTCTTTGAGAAAAACCACCTATCAGCTTGAAACTCTCACGAACAGGTTCCTGTCAACAGCCGAGAGGCTACTTGAGCTTGGTTCTCATATGCAATTTGACATCAGTCCCTCCACCGAGTTGATCGATGATGTTAATGAATCTCAACAGCAGGAGAAAAGTGTGGAGACGGAAAGATAGACCGAGTGCGTAGTCTAATGGGTATAGTTGCTCCCCAGCAAACTGTAAAGCGTAATACTATGCTGATATAGCGCAGAAAATTTAAAGGTATTGTTTTTTCTTTACTTTTATATGTCACATCGTTGGGTAGACCTGACACGATCCAGACCATTCCTCATACAGCCTACGTGATGTCCTGCAAACTTGCGCTTGAGTATTACATCCGAAAGACGAAATCGATACAAATGAAGCGCCGTGTATATTATAGTGACATAGTGTTGCGATCTAATCCATGCTCAAGTAAAAGTTTAAGCAAAACATGTCCAATTAAAGATCTTACCAAGTCATAGTAATAAATTCCCCGATATTGTTATAATAAAATAATATTGAACTGTCACTGATGTAATATTAAGAAAGTCGATCGTATACTCTCATCCAACGGTTAATCTTTATTTAAGATCGTCATCATCGAAATCATCCGGGAAATCTTAAGAGGACGTAAGTCAACTATTTGTACTTGGACAATTCCAATAGCACTCGTCGAACTTACCATTGAAGAAGTCCTGGTCGACTATTTTATCGGTGTTTTGTCCATGTTTATGGCCACCTTTATGCAAAGTGCCTTGTAGAATACTCTCGTCAGCCACATAGGCACCCTGACCACTATTTCCTTCTCTGTTGAAGCTGCTCTGTGATTGATACAAGCTTCTCCCAAGGCCATCTTCAAATTCATCGACGGGCATTGGATCATAAAAGTCCTCTAACCAAAAGAAAGACAAGACAGTCAGAGGGATTAATTGGTTAGAAATTACGTATGGTAGATCTACTATTACCTTCAGCTTCTGGTATTTGTGACATTTTAATTTGCGAGTCTACTAACGCTTCCGTATTTTGTCAACAATTTATAACCTCAGATGGTGATCTCATGTGATCTACGTTTTTAAAACATACTCGAGCTAAACATTGACGTCATCGTAAAAGGTTTCCTTATTAACCTTGCATTCACAAGGCCAACTGTTCGTGTATTCGTACTTTAATTCGACAGATTGTTTTATTTTTTATGTTTCGGTATCCAGCTAGTCTTTGAACTCATGAGTGATAATATAAAGGCTACAATCAGCGATAGAGCTACAGTCATCAAATAGAATTGAAGTAGGAACATTTACGATTGATGAAACGGTACATAATATTAACAATCTCTCCGAAATTGTCGTTTGAAAAATTTCTTATTCAAAACTATGTCGTTAGTTAAGGATATTCAAAATCAAGCAATTGGCAGCTTGGCCAAAACTACTCACTTTGGATGGATTCCTTACTCGCAAATTACTGACATAGAGTCAAGTCAAATTGACAATATTGATTGCGCTACTCACAAACATACACAGGATGATGGTACAGATGACATCATTACACCATGGATGCACACATATAGCAGAATGTTTAGAACCGATAACAAATGAATTGACACGGGTGACACTCAAAAAGATAGTTGACGAAGGGGATGATCAATTATTGGATTTTCAACAGGTAAATTATTTCACGTGTAAAATACAAATAGTATTATTAACGTATCAAGCAGATTATTGTTGTAACAGCTGTATTTGTTTATTCAAATAGCTAACCAAGGAATACCCCGACATGTTAACACCCGAGAATATTTGGATAATTGGGATTACTCAGGAGCCATCTACTCGGGAATATTATTTAATTTTCTACCATGAAATACGTCAGATATTGGACAGGTTTATACGAAATAATAAACTTATAAAGCACATGCAGCATGGTGACTTTTATGAACTCATAGAGATTGGATCTGGTGGTTATGGAACAGTTTATACTGCCAAGTATAACGGCGAGTTAAAATGGCCTATGGAGGAAACTGTTGTACTCAAACGGTTTAAGAATTTTGATGAAACGCCGGAATTATTTATTTCCGAGGTAAGCAATTGTTGATGTTATTAATTAAAGTGAT